GAGCCAGCTGTTTGGGGAGAGAGGGCCCAGCCACTGCCCCTTGGGTGGATTTGATGTTCTGTGTTTGGGAAGAAGCCTTCTCTCCATCCTTTTCTGTTTCTGCAGAATATCTGTTTAAGTCAGGGAGTTGAGCCTGGCAGTTCAGCTGCTCAGCCAGGCAGGTGCTGTGTCCTGGACTATGCTAGGATCTGGGGAGGAGAGAGGGCAGCTGCAGGCCCTGTTTGCAGTGGCTCCCTCCTGGGATCCCCGTTGTTCCTCCCCACATCTGCTCACTGTGTACTGTCCAGCGCCGCAGTGGAAGCTGGGGGCAAGATGGGGGAGACCCATGGACATAGATGGCATCCACGAAGGCTGGCGGAACCTGTGATAGACGATGGATGATGACCCAGGTTCCAGCAAGAAATGGCAGTGGGCTGTGCTGCGAAGGGGCGCATCCTGGAGGAGGCCCTAGATAGTGCCTAAGAAAGTGAGGGTCATTGGCTGATTCCGCGTGGCATCCATGAATCTCTCAAGTCCATAGGGCCTGTGCATGACAAATAATTAAAAAGGTGAAGGGTGTTCGCCATGGAACCTCACAGAGGGAAGGAGACCTGCCCATGATATCCAGCTCTGATCACACTGCTGTTTTGTGATTAATAGGCAGACTTTCAAAGAATGAATTAGATTCAGGACCCTTTTAGTTTCAAGTGACAAAATCTCAATGTAAGTTGACACAAGCCAAAAAAGTAGAGGAGCAAGGGATTGATGAGTCCATGGATCTGTAGAGCCTAGAGTAGTTTGCTTCAGGCATGGCTGGATCCGGAGACTCAGGTGATGTCATCAGGAAGTACTCGCCCTGTCCCCATTCCACTCTGCTTTCCTGTGCTGCCTCTGTCTCAGGGGCTCTGCCCACAGGGTGACCTTCCACAGTTCAAGCTGGCATCCACGTGCCAAGATCAGCAGAAGGGGAAAGCCCATTTCCCAGCAGTTCTAGCACAAACGCTGTTGGGCCGTGTCCATCCCCGAACCAGGTGCTGTAGTCAGGGAGATGACCTGGCAACTCTGATCGGCCAGGTGGGGGTGCAGAGCACAGGGGACAGAGCAGTGCCACCCAGACCATGAGAGTGGGGGGGGTTCCCCAAAAGGGGCATCAAGGTGCGGTCATCAGAAAAAGCAAGGAACGGAGGTCAAGCACACAGAAAAACGTGTGTTTCATGGGTCTTGGTGGTCCACACTGATGCAGCCGGCTTCTGGGGGTGATGTTTCTGGCACTGAGCAGTGAGCATGCTGGGATTTGCCTTTGAGCCCATGAGGGCTCCTGCTTCATGGACTAAGCTAATTGGTCTTCAGGACAAGCCCACCACTGCCACATGGAAACTGGAATAATGAAGAGGGTGTCTGTCCATCTCATTAAGATTCTGGGGCCGGGCGCGGTGGCTCAAGCCTGTAATCCCAGCACTTTGGGAGGCCGAGACGGGTGCAGGAGATTGAGACCATCCTGGCTAACATGGTGAAACCCGTCTCTACTAAAAAATACAAAAAAGTAGCCGGGCATGGTGAAGGCGCCTGTAGTCCCA